AAAGTCACGGGGGGGGTGTGTGAAAACTTTTCGGTATTGCTGTGGGGCGCGCAAGTCGCGGGTAACGCCCGGCCCGGGGCCGCGATGCTGATAAAGCCATGCGGCGGGGTCCCCTAGGAACGGGAAATTAGTGCAAAGCCTCGAAGTGAAAGATTGGTATTTGCAGAGGGAAAACGTTCCTCTTTAACTTTCTTAAGTGTAAGGGCTGATGTTTTATGTTTTAAACAAGCTGCCAGGCTTATTGCGTGGTTTGGAGCCTTTTCTACCCTTTCTTGTGCTGCCTGACAGCGCTACAGGCTGTGTGTGCGCTGTGACCACGCTTTGCTGTGCGTGCCACTCTGGATCCCCTTCTCTTAGGGTGTCCGCAGCTCTAAACTCTTGTCATGATAAGCAGAGGTACAATAATGCATCCCAGTATACAAGTACCTTTTAGTGGCTACAACCAGACAATCAATATACCTGTTTACACCAGAATATCTAAGGCAATAATAGTGCTGTAGGACAATGTGGAGACAGATGGACAGTCTGCATCTTGGGTTATGCATGCTGTCAGTGGGTGAACATTACTGGTCTGAGTGCTGGGCTCATAAGAAGACTTTCAGTTCCAGCTTTGCATACATAGCTTAATGTTTGTCTTTTCCCTCTTACGTGAAGAGGCACAGAATGAGAGTGTAATCTTGACAAATCACATTTTTTAAAATAAGCTTATACTTAAAGTAACTAAAATGTCGGTTATACCATCTACTCTGCTCTGGTGAGACCCCACCTGGAGTACTGTGTCCAGCTCTGGAGCCCTCAGCATAAGAAAGACATGGACCTGTTGGAGTGGGTCCAGAGGAGGGTCACAAAAATGATCAGGGGGATGGAACACCTCTGCTATGAAGAAAGGCTGAGAGAGTTGGGGTTCTTCAGCCTAGAGAAGAGAAGGCTTTGGGGAGACCTTACTTGCAGCCTATCAGTACTTAAAGGGGGCTTCTAAAAAAGATGGTGGCAGACTTTTTAGCAGGGCCTGTTGCGACAGGACAAGGGGGAATGGCTTTAAACTAAAGGGGGGTAGATTTAGACTAGATATAAGGAAGAAATTTTTTACGCTGAGGGTGGTGAAGCACTGGCACAGGTTGCCCAGAGAGGTGGTGGATGCCCCATCCCTGGAAACATTCAAGGTCAGGCTGGACGGGGCTCTGAGCAACCTGATCTGGTTGAAGATGTCCCTGCCCACGGCAGGGGGGTTGGACTAGATGACCTTTAAAGGTCCCTTCCAACCCAAACTATGATTCTATGAAATATGTTTCCTGTCAAGGTCTGATAAGGGTTTTGCAGTATGACTTTGTGTAGCTGATGAGTAAGACTTCTAGATGGTGACAGCACAGGTATGTTTCTTTCCAGTAGTGGCTTATTGACAGGTCAGTGTTTGTTCAAGCTGTGATATTTTAGGCCAAGTTTTTCCTGATTTTCATACAGTTGCCTGACAAAAATAAAAACTGTAGATTAGAAGAAACAAAGTAAACATTGCTGCTTAGTTCATGTATAGCTTTAACTCATTTGCAGCTTGGCGATGTTTGTCTAGCTTCATGAAGTTCCGTATCTGCCTTTTACAGGCTAGATAGGAAGGCTGAGCTGTTAAGTGTTTTGACACTGAAGTGCTGACATGTTCCAGGTTTTATGCCGAGGGGAACAAAAATGTTATGACTGCTTAATAGGCAATACTCTTCCTGAGCAGAGGGGCTTTGAGCGAGCCCTGGTCTGCCCATTGTTTTAATGAACACTGTGTGTTCTTCATTAGTATTTAGAGAGACAACGTATATCCATTGCTGTAGCATAGACACGGGAATGTAGTATTAGTAGAAGACCATTGAATCATTGTGTCCAAAGCTTTAAAACTGTAGGAGGCCATGTGATAGGTGTTTAATTGCTAAAACACTGGCTGCCATAGTCTATGAGTAATTGCCCAATGAGTTATTTTAAACTTAATCCCTAACAAAAGCTGCCAAGTCACATCTGTAATATCACAGGAAAAAGCAATAGGAGAGTAAAGGGCAGACAAAATATACTAATATTTTTAAATAAAATGCACTTTTTAAAGGTTATCTTGGAATTTACCTGTCTACTATCAACACTGAATCAACTTACTTTCATTTGCTATAGCAAATTTTCACTGCCCAGATTCTGAGATGCACAAAAATAATTAAATTATGGATTAAGAAATGAATTGCTGATCTGTAAAATGACTGAAAAAAATGACTAAAAACCAATACTTTAACTTGTACTCTGGCATGAGGTCTTTTAATTTTCCAGTGTCCCCTTAATAGCTAAAACTATTAGTCTTTGGAATGTTTCTGAACTCTGTCTTGTATTAAACTACATTATGTTATATTTATAATAATACCAACTATTTATCAGATCCTGCAGAGATAACCATGAAGTTTGGGTTACTATTGCAATGAGCTTTTATTCTAAATGGACACTATAATGGGATGATGGAGAAGTGGATGTGGAATGATATGATCGTTTCTTTTTAAATTATATCCTTCTTTTCAGACATGGGTTTTTAACAAGGTTGTGGCATATGTGTAAGGCTTTTCCCTGGCGAACAGTTGCTTTTCATTGAAAGAAGAATGGCTGTTCTTGTTTCATCGTGATGTGAACTCCTCTGCAGACCCTCTCCCCAGCTATCAGAAACTTGCTATGTAAATTATGAATAGGATGAAGAAAGCTTTCTCCTTAAAGAAATTGCAGCTATCTGTCTCAAATTGACTTGTCTTCTAAGGGACTTCAGAAGCTCTACATTCTGTGATCAATTATTTTATCTTGCAGGATGGAACCGACTTCAGATAATGAGAAATTTTTCAGACCATCCTATATTGCTAGTATTGAGCCGCCTGAAAGAACAGGACTAGTAAATGTGGAAGATATTAAAGCAGATCTCTCTGCTGAATTTTCTTTGGTTTCTTCAAGCTCAGACACAAGCCAGGTAAGAAAGCTTTAATGTTTGCATTGTTTGGATTCTTTTTTAGATAAGCTTAGTTCTTTCATCGATAAGAATAATCAGAATTTTACAGAGAAGATGAAAAGCATCTTTAGTATGTTTTTAATTTGGAGGAGATATGTAGGATTAGACCAAGTTGTGTGGCGCTGCACTGATACCTTATTGGGTGCATCAGTCCTCTGTGAATGAGGCTAGTTGCCGGTTCAGCGCACCTTAATCATAGAATGTTTTTGTGGGTTTCATTCTTGATCTCTAGTTGGCCTGAATGGGGGGTGTGTGTGTGTGTACACGTGCTGCAAGATTATTAACTCTAAGTTGTCACAGTGAACTTCTGCAGGGGCCTAAGCACTTGTAAAAACTGATGTAGTAAATTACTTTTGCTTCCTGTGTCATCAAATAAGTCTGTTCAAATAATGGTGAAAATAAAACTGCCTTAACATGCTAGCTATCAAACAAAGAATCTAGTCAAACTTCTAACTTCCTTAATTTATTTTTTTTTTAATTTAAGAGGAGCAGTTTGGCGTCTAAGGCACACATACAAGTTTGCCTGCGTATTAGGCCACTTACATCGTTAGAAAGAGAAAATGAATTGCAGGTATGACATTTATTTAGTTTAAAAATACTTTAAATGTATGGGGTTTTTTTCCTGTAAGCTTTTCATGCCTGCATTGCTTGTGCTTCCTTTTAATAGGACTGCATTTCACTTGAAGACTCAACAAGCATCATACTGAAGCCCCCCAAAAACTCTTTGAGTCGACTAAGTGAAAAAACTGCTGGACAGACGATACAGAAGTTCACTTTTTCAAGAGTAAATGAATTGTCTTTAAAAGTATTTAATTTATTCCTGGAAAAAGTTGTTTAACTTATATTATTTAATACCAAACAAACTAGATTTTTTTAACTGTCAATAGTCTTTAAGGTTATAAACATCTAGAATTTAAAAGATCCTTTAAAAGTCACTAATGATTGCTTAAATAAAATAAAGATGTTTCTTGGTAATGCTCAGGTGTTTGGACCTGAAACAACTCAGGAAGAATTCTTTGAAGGTACCATGAAGCAACCAGTGCAAGATTTCTTAGATGGATATAATCGTCTTATTTTTACATACGGCGTTACAAATGCTGGGAAAACCTACACATTTCAAGGTATAAGTAGAAATGTGTTTGCCTTGAATGAACTTTCTTTTTTTTTTTTTTAAAGTGAGGATTGCTTCTAGTAGAAATATTATAACTTTTTCTTTATTTAAACTGTAGGCCCTATACATTGGCTTCTCTTGAATGTTAATAAATAGCCTTTGAAAGTCTCCTTCCGTAACAAATATCACTAAACTGACAACGAGTCACTGCCAGAGTTTACATAAACATATAGTGATATTGCTTTGAAAGGCT